ACTTTCAAAACCTTCACCATGACCTAAGGTCCTTGATTTCCATATCAGGAGACATCAGGGGTCTGAGATCTACTGTGTCTGTAGCCTGTACAGATCAGGGACTGAGAATCCGGGATTTTGACAGCTGTGAACCTGGAAGTGCACAGAGCTCAGCATTCCCTGGTGCACTCTAAGCTTAGATTGGTGAATGAGAGTTCACAAATGGCTTCCACCGCTCAGCCACACTGATTACTCCGGCACTGGTCCTGGGTTCACAGAAGAACCAGGGGAACCGAGGGGGTGAGGGGGGAGTGTGAACTGTACTGACGCAAAAGCATTGGCCTGTTGAAGTGATCGGGTAGGAGTACAGCCAGCAAATGGACTTTGCATGCATTAGGTCTGAGGGCTATTGAAAAGAATGCTATATTAAAACAAGACAAGCTACAGCATTGAAAGAAAAACTTGCAGCCTGTGGTTTCTCTTCATCCTTCACATGCAGCACAGCTATGGCGGAAGCAGAGAGGGTTATTCATGCCGATCACATAATTGGTCCCCCCCATACCAGTCTTCTCCTTGCTGTAGGGGGACCTCTGCAGGTCAAAGTGAAGTTGGAGAAAGGCCAACTTAATTGACAGCTAGGGAGCTAATATGGTCAGAGACAGGTCAGCAGCGGAATCTATCCATGACAATGTAACACTGAACTTCCCCTATGAAATATGATTGTATCTATAGCTGTGTACATAAAATTGGGTTGTTTTATTCTTGTTTCTGTGTAGACGCTGCTAGATTGTTTCCATAGATTATAAATATTATTGTGTGCACATCGGTCTTTGCCTTCCTGCAGTAAACCATAAAACACCTCTGCTATCAGTCTGAGATGTGATAATACTTTCAACGTGCTTTGTAAAACATATATCTCTGTAGATTTGTGTCCCCCCCTATGGCACTAGATCGGTTTACTTCTCCCTGCAATAAGAATGGGAAGACTCAGAGCACCATCTCGTGGTTGCTAAGAATATGACTTATCTTTTAAACCTTTTCTATTCACTCTGCAGGAGGACAGACCCATAGCTCCCATCTGTCTGTGTCACCCTGCAGGAGGAGGAGAGACTCATAGCCCCCTTCTGTCTGTATCACCCTGCAGGAGGAGGACAGACTCATAGCTCCCTTCTGTCTGTGTCACCCTGCAGGAGGAGGAGAGACTCATAGCTCCCTTCTGTCTGTGTCACCCTGCAGGAGGAGGACAGACTTATAGCCCCCTTCTGTCTGTATCACCCTGCAGGAGGAGGACAGACTCATAGCCCCCTTCTGTCTGTATCACCCTGCAGGAGGAGGACAGACTCATAGCCCCCTTCTGTCTGTATCACCCTGCAGGAGGAGGACAGACTCATAGCCCCCTTCTGTCTGTATCACCCTGCAGGAGGAGGACAGACTCATAGCTCCCTTCTGTCTGTGTCACCCTGCAGGAGGAAGGACTAAGCCATGTTGCATCACACATGTTCAAACAAGTAAAAAAAACAAAAAACATTTCATTAGTCACATACATTTAATCGGACATGCAAAATCATACAAACACTACTATATACATAGCTCTGCCACCTTCCTTCCACGTATTCACTTTGCTGACTCAATACAATGGCAACCAGGGGGTAACAATATGAAAACCAGTATTTTTGGTCTTCAGTTCAACCCACACGGCTCTTGCCTTTGTTTCAATGGAGAAATAAACAGCAGAATGTGATATCAATATAACTGATCAGACATTGAAGTAAAGCTAGACATTGCTCCTCTGCTGTAAGCAGTTCACAGGCTCACTAAGTACATTCCCCTCAGCCGCAAGACGTCATTGAATATCCGCAGTTGGGTTTGATAGATGCTTTGAGACTCAGCAAAACACCTTTTAGAGACAATGGGATGTCAGTGCTTATTCCAATGGTTCAAAGGCAAGGAAATCCCCAAAGAAGCTCACTGTGCTCCCTCAATGGGTACCTGGAAGAAACTCAAAGTATAGAGTTATAGATGGACGCCACGCCACAAAATGAGTGCAAAGTGCCTCCAACTGTTCATAAGACATCACATCAAAATGTTACATTATTACTAACAATTAAAGGCACTTTGGACTCTCTCATGCTGTGGTTTGCTGTCCATCTATAGCCACTGAGGGAGGCTTGTGTTTGAGAGCTGCCTTACCAGAACCAGTGACCTGGGGCAGGTAAAAAAGCAAGTATCCCTTTTTAAAGTGGATGAATTATTTGACCTACCTGAGAATATTAGAGCAGATGGCCAAAAATAATAATAATTTATAAAGCTTCCTTGAGCACATACAGGTGAAACTCGAATAATTAGAATATCGTGAAAAGTAATGGCAGTAATTGCTGCAAAAGGGGCCCAAACCAAGTACTGAGTACATATGCATGCTTGTACTTTTCAGAGGTCCGATATTGTTCTATGTACAATCCTTGTTTTATTGATTGCATGTAATATTCTACTTTTTTGGAGGTTGTGGATTTGGGGTTTTCATGAGCTGTAAGCCATAATCATCACAATGATGACAAATCACGGCTTGAACTATCTTGCTTTGCATGTAATGAGTCTATCTCATATATTAGTTTCACCTTTTAAGTTGCATTAGTGAAATAAATTAACTTTGCACGATATTCTAATTATTCGAGTTTCACCTGTATCTAAAGTCCACTTGCCTTCAGCATGCTTCAACAGCACCAGGCCACCATTTTTTTTAGTACATTCCCCTCAGTCACAAGTCGTCATTGAATATCTGCAGTTGGGTTTGACAGATGCTTTAAGACCCTGTAAAATACATTTTAGAGGTAATGGGATTTCAATGCTTATTTTACCTTTATTGATAGTTTTAAAGGCTGGCTCATTCCTTCTTACCTGTTGTGCCTACCTATTCACCAGTAGGGAAGCAGGGCAGTCAGAAGGGTGCTCAGCAATCTTCTACACCAGCCTTTTTCAACCATGGTTCCTCAAGAGTAGGGGGTTCCTCGAGCAGTGGCAGATTTGACCTCCCACCTGGAGGTTCCTTCATAGTTCTACCACCAGTTGCTCAGCACAGCCAGCAGCATCTGGCCTCTCCGCTCTCTAATAGGTAGCTACTAAAACAAATGACTTTATAGCTGTCTGTAAGGGGCATTCTTACCACTGGCCACCAATGTAGAAGGCCATTCCTTCCACTGAGAACCAACGTAAGGGGGGCATGCATTCTCCCGCTGACCACCTATGTAAGGAAGCCCTTCTCCCATTGACCACCTATGTAAGGAAGCCCTTCTTCCATTGACCACCTATGTAAGGAAGCCCTTCTCCCATTGACCACCTATGTAAGCAAGCCCTTCTCCCATTGACCACCTATGTAAGGAAGCACTTCTCCCATTGACATGCAGATTTCCTCATCATACACCTGTCTGTTATCCCCTTCTTATAGGGTGCTGCAGTGACCCATGGATGGAGCTGCACTCATCAAATGAAAAATATGTCACCAGCACATCTCAATGAATCTTCATCCAAAACGCCTTTATTGATGGACGTTCAGCATGTTAAAACAATAGTTATGCATTGTTTCGGAATCTAGCAGGGCTACTTCGTCAGGCACACTCTGTCACGTTGTCTGATAAAGGGACCCTGCAAGTGTGTTCCCTAGAACAGGTTATTTCAAGAGCTGAAGGTTATTTCAAGGTTTCCTCTGTGTCTTTAGAGCTGTCCCCAGAACAAAAGGGGAAATGTTCCAATGGAGACATCTATTCCAGGGACAACTGTTAAGTGAAGGGTAGTCCTTTCATTATGGGAGATTTCTTTTCACTTCCACTTGTGTCTCTGTGACAGGACATGAAGGGGAATCACCTCAATGGTACACAGGCAGCAAGAAAATAAAGTAACAGGAGTTCTAACTAGGGAGGCACCAACATTTCAGCCGCCAAAACATATTCCTGGCGAAAATCATACTCTGGAAAAACTGGCTATAGTACCAAAATGGCTAAAAATGTGGTGCATCGCAAGCTTCTCTCCTCCCCACTGGGCACTGGTCTGTGTCCCCCTCCAATCCCCGCTGCTCTCCACTGCCTGTGTCGGTAAAGGCAGCAGGCATAGGAAGGGACACAGAGCCTGTCCATCTGTTGGCACCCAGAGGGGACGAGAGAAGCTGTTAGGAGGCCAAGTGGGGCAGTGAGGAAACAGAAGATGTCAGGAGACCAAGCGAGAGGAAGGGGGGGGGTTGCGGGAGGAGAGCTCGGCCTCCAGTGACAGTCGAAGAAGTCAGGAGGGAGAGCGGAAACACTCAGCAACCAGTACTGACCTCAGTGTTTGTAAATAACTGAGGACATAGTCAGTGTACAGTCTCCCCAGTTATGAATGAACAGGAAGTGCTCTACATCACTAGTATAGAAGCTTCCTGTTCATTCATTACAGGCCTGCAGAAAAAAAAAAAAGAAGAAGATTGAGGACTCTGTGTCCTCGATCTCTTTCTCTATACTAAAAGGGAAATATCTCTCTATCCAAAGCTAAAAAAAGGTTTTGTCTATCCATATCCACTTTAAATTCAGGTATTGGGTGACACGTCACTGATAACTCAGGAATGGGGATGTACTTGGACCACCCATATATTGAAAGTAGCGGGATATCACTGGAAATTGGTGAGAACTGAGACTCCATCATTGCATGGCAGACAGAAGAAACTGTGAGCTGGTTTAACACTCCAATGTGCCCCAAGCACTGAAATGTCAGATGTGTGTGGACTAATTGTTAAAGAGAACCTATCCAATCAGGACAGAGCTCCAGGACCTTCATACTTGCCCTTGCTTTACTAACAAGCAGGTTAGTGACCATGAACAAGCACGCAGGTAGGGAGCTCTGACATTACTGGCCTCCTCCCAGGTCAGGGACTTTGCAGTGAAGAAAGGATGAGGATAGCGAGCTTCGTTGTTGAGATCGCCCGCAATCAGTCAGCATTGGAATTTCCGGGATACCCCCCGACAGACCCACGTGCTGCACAAGACAACTTGTGTGTCGGAGGAAGTGGTCAGGAAGAAGAAAAAAAAGGGGACACCGCCGGTCATCCCTAGCCAGCACGAGCAGAGAAGTACGGCAGACTGCGGATGAACATGTCTAGTTTGCTCTTGAAAAGTTCGCTCTGGATGGGCTCGTTGAGAGGACAGAGGGAGTTTTTCACCACGTATTCCACGTAAATCTGTGACAGAGAGAAAGTGATGTCATCCATTGGGATTTAACTTTTGTATGATTCACAAATCATAAAGCTAAAGTCTAATTTTGCCTTCCCTGGTTCCTCCCTCCTACTTTTTATAAACAAAACCCTTCATTTTCTATGGCATACCTTCCTTTATACCCATTGATGTCATCTCTGGGTATCTTGTGCTTATCTATGCAATGCAGGCAGGCCAGGGCTGGTGGGAGGGGCCAGCGGCGTGTTGTACGTAGCTACCTGTAAACATCACAGCACCCTGCCTCGGCATTCTTTTCAATAGCCCTCAGCCCTAATGCATGCAGATGGGAGGAGTTATGCAAACACCAGAATTCCTTGCTGGGTGTCAGTCTGGAGGAGCGGATGTTCCCAGACAGGTTGCATTTGTATCCAGACCACCCTAAGTAACACCCGCATTTGATACTGAGGCTCAATGATTGACAGAACGGGATTTGAGCATTGCCATGGGCTGTATTTGCATTACAATATCTACAGGCAGATCACGAGCACACATATATAACAAAAGACTTTATATTCTCCGCAATTCCTATATAAATAAAATCCAGGCACTGCCGAGATTCGAACTCAGGATCTCCTGTTTACTAGACAGGCGCTTTAACCAACTAAGCCACAGCGCCACCTTATCCCTGTATACCATATATATACACACAGGTATAGCCTGTATATACTGTATGCTATTCCTATTCTCATCTCAATGCGGCATGGTGTGCATATACGGGTCAACACGGCCGGTGGTCCACATATATGCGTCAGCCCACTCCGCTGTTCTGCGTGCTCCCAGCACACTATCAAGCTATCGCTGACAGCTCAGAGTCACCGTTCACAGGATCCAATGACAAGCGCTCACAGCGATCACATGCTTGGGAAGCTGACCTATGACTCCCAGCATTGAGAACCCTTTAAAGGGCTGCTGGGAGTTGGCAAAGCGTTAAATACCCACTTTGTTATATAGCATGAGGGGTGCAGCGTGTAACCTGAATTCTTCAATGGAGTTCCCTCTGCAGAGAGTGTTCCGTGACTGGAGGAGAGCCAGTCATGTGACCATGTCTGTCTCTGCCCGGTAGGCCCTTCCATGCACCTCGTCTCTCCCCGGTAACCCCTTCCATGCACCTAGTCTCTGCCAGGTAACCCCTTCCATGCACCTAGTCTCTGCCCGGTAACCCCTTCCATGCACCTCGTCTCCCCGGTAACCCCTTCCATACACCAAGCACCTCGTCTCTGCCCAGTAACCCCTTCCATGCACCTCATCTCTGCCCGGTAACCCCTTCCATGCACTGCGTCTCTGCCTAGTAACCCCTTCCATGCACCTCGTCTCTGCCTAGTAACCCCTTCCATGCACCTCGTCTCTGCCTAGTAACCCCTTCCATGCACCTCATCTCTGCCCGGTAACCCCTTACATGCACCTCGTCTCTGCCTGGTAACCCCTTCCATGCACCTCGTCTCTGCCTAGTAACCCCTTCCAAACACATCTCTGTATTCGTTATCCCCCTCAATAATTGAAGTGATCTCACCGTGCTGTAGATCTGGTGCAGGACGTCCCGTGCGTTGGCTACACTCAGATCTGTGTTCATCACCATCTTTACACCGCTCGGTGTCTCGTAGTAGTGCAGCTTGTACTTGCTGGTCTGGAAGGTGAGGAAGCCATCTTTCCTGAAGCCCGGTGGTTAAGGAAGACCAAGCTTCAAGTCTACGAGCCATTTCTATTCTGGAATCATTCTGAGATGCTCATCATATCTACAAGAGTGTTCCTTACTCAATGAGGTAAGACCGCACACTGCAAATCTTCTTCTTCTGAACAACTTTATTTATACTGCAAAGACACTCCACCCTGCTTGTCCCCTGTGATTTGTTCTGCTCCCTGTTGCACAGTGTTGTTGCATGGTTAAAGCTGAAATGTAATCTGCTTATATTTTGCCTTCTCTGGTTCCTCCCCCCCTAACTTATAAACATGCTAAATAAACATTTCTGTTTTCATTACATAACTTATTTTAGTCTCAATGATGTCATCACTGGCTATCTGTACTTTTCAATGCAATGCAGGCAGACAATGGTTTGTAAGTGGGGCCAGCAGGGTGCTGTACATAGCTTCCAAAAAACATCACAGCACCCTGCCTTAGCACTCCATTTAGGAGCCCTCAGCCCTGATACAAGCAGTGAGGAGTTATGCAAATATCAAAATGCCTTGACGGGTGAATGTCATTCTGGAGGAGCGGGTGTTCCTAGACAGGTTGCATTCGTGTGCAGACCACCCTAAGCAACACCCACATGTGATGCTGAGCCTCCATGATTGATAGAACAGGATTTGAGCATTTTCGTGACTAGGGCTGCAACAACTAATCGACTATTGAAAAAGTTGTCAACTTTTTCAATCATCGATTAATCGGCTTCTGATTAGTTGGCCCTGTTCACGGCTCCACACATGCTGCGCGCCGCACCTTCTCCCCACTGCCAGACCCGCCCGCATCCACACCCCCTCCCTGCCTCACGCTCACCGCCCATCCACGATCGGCACAGGTGTGAGGCGACGACAGCCGCCGATAGACAGGCCCGATCTCAGAAGCAAGTTGCTGGAAGACTGCTCAGCTAAGCCTGCACTTTCCCACACATGGTGCTCTATAATGTATTGCAGGGATTTGTATTCGTCTATATCCGATGGTACATTGTGCTGTATATTATCAGCTGTAGAGGAATACAAATCCCAGCAATACATTACACACTGTATGTACAATGTATTGCTGGGGATTTGTTGTATTCCTATATAGCTGGTGGTATTGTGCATTGCGCTGTATAGAGGACTACAAATCCCAGCAATACATTACACACTGTATGTACAATGTATTGCTGGGGATTTGTTGTATTCCTCTATAGCTGGTGGTATTCTGCATTGCGCTGTATAATGTACTATTGCTGGGTTTTGTAGTCCTCTATAGCCGATGCCATTTTGCATTGATTGCTGTATAATTTTACACTTTCCATTTCACTATATTGCACATCACACTTTTTTTTTTCCATTTTTACTTCCACAGCTCCAAGCTTGCTCCGGTGATGGACTACAATCTCAATACAAACTAGTAGTCCATCACTGGAGCCAATTTTTAAAATGTATTTGATTTTTTTTATCCGATTAATCGGCTAACTAATCGATTTTGAAAATAATCGTTAGCTGTAGCTCTACAATTTTGGCCTTTATATTGCACTGAATTCACGAGCTGTACTAGAGAGGGGGAAACAAGAGAGGCGCAGCGTGATCTTAAGTTGTATGAGGCAACCGTTGCCGAGCAGTACGCTTCAGTATTGTTTCGACCAGGGGCGGACCGGGCCCCTCTGATGTCGTGCAGGCTGGGCCGTCATTGAAGCGACACGGAGGCTCCGGTGGTGGCCTCTCACTGACTCAAGCAGCGGCTGTCACAAGGAATGCGCGGCTCTCAGTACAGGTGATCTGAGAAGCGGCGTGTTCCTTATCATAGCCGTAAAGCATTTATGATTTTGTTATATTAAATAGTTGCATTTCATATTAATAAAATGGAAGTTCTCTGATCATTATTTTACAAATGTATTTAGAGATTTTTTTTTAATTCCTATTAGTGGTCCGCGGGATTTAGAATGATTAATTTAGTAGTCCAGCGACCGCTGATCTGGAAGATGTCAGACTTGCTCAGCTGCCATTCCTGGGCTGTCCACCTGTCCGTGTTGTCAATCCAGCAGATAAATCTGCAACAAAGATCGTACTAAAGGATACATGTCCACCGGGCTCATTTTACTGACGAATGAGCGTATGGAAAAAAGCATGCCGTACATGAGCTTGTACTCCTAGAGGAAGAAGGGAAGAGGTATTAGAGAGCGGTCAGCGCAGAGATCAGGGGAGAAGGACAGGTCCAGGAGATGAGGAAGGAGAGAGACTACAATGAACAAGAGAGAGTGAGGAGTGGGAATGGAAAGCGAGGGGCAGGGATGTGGGGTAAGGACAGGGCAAGAGAGAGCGCAGGGACAGAGAGAGAGAGCGCAGGGACAGA